ATATATATATATATATATATATATATATATAGTCTTACCCCACTTTCTCATCCTGTACACAAAACTTGTATATAAAACAAGTAGCCTGCACAGTCCTAGTTCTTCAAACATCCTCAAAAAAGAGTCAGCGGGTCATAGTCTTGCTCTCTTTCCCCCCGATTTATATCCAAACCAGTCACTAGGCAACCTTCCATCAGGGCAGGACTCTCCATCTTTGGGTCAATATTTTCACAGATGAAGGGAGAAGTGCTACCCTGCTTCTGCGAGGCCCTTCTTTGCATTCTGAACCCTATGTGTCCCTGGCTTGCCACAACACGACAACATCTCAAAAATGAAGTATTGCCAGTCCGTATTCATCTCTTCATAGAATCATAGAATCATAGAATCTTTGCGGTTGGAAGGGACCTCTAGAGGTCATCTAGTCCAACCCCCCTGCACACACAGGGTCACCTAGAGCACGTGGCACAGGACTGCGTCCGAGCGGGTTTGGAAGATCTCCAGAGAAGGAGACTCCACAACCTCTCTGGGCAGCCTGTTCCAGTGCTCTGTCACCCTCACTGGGAAGAAATTTTTCCTTAAGTTCATGTGGAACTTTTGGTGCTTCCCTTTGTGGCCATTACCTCTAGTTCTGTCAGTGGCCACCACTGAAAAGAGGCCAGCCCCATCCTCCTCACTGCCTCCCTTGAGGTACTTATAGACACTGATTAGATCCCCTCTCAGCCTTCTCTTCTCCAGGCTGAACAGGCCCAGCTCCCTCAGCCTCTCCTCATAGGGCAGGTGTTCCAGGCCCCTGATCATCCTTGTAGCCCTGCGCTGGACTCTCTCCAGTAGATCCACATCCGTCTTGCACTGAGGGGCCCAGAATCCCTGCATTCTCTGACAACATTCTTATATTCCTCCCAAGGAGCCTGTGCTTTTTTCCACTTTCTGTATAGTGCCTTTTTCTGTTTGACTTTGAGCCAGCAGCTCCTTGCTCATCCACGCAGGCCTCCTGCTCCTGCTGCCTGACTTGGGATTCTTCCGAGGAGGTCTCTGAAGAGGCCAAAGTTGGCCCTCCTGAAGTCCATTGTTGCAAGGCTACTTACAGCCCTGCTTGCTCCTTGTTGCATCCTAAACTCAATCAGCTCTTGGTCACTGCAGCCGAGGCTACCCCCCACCTTCACATCTCCAAGAAGTCCCTCTCTGTTTGTTAGTATGAGGTCCAGTAGCCCACCGCTCCTCGTTGGCTCCTCCACAATCTGTGTTAAAAAGTTATCATCAATGCTCTGCAGAAACCGACAGGACTGTTTGTGCCTGGCTGTGTTGTCTTTCCAGTTGATGTCAGGGTGGTTGAAGTCTCCCATGAGAACCAAGGCTTGAGACCATGAGGCTATAAATCTGTACATCTATATGCTTTAGAAAGGAAAAGCTGTCCTGATCGGAATATTCTTGTCCCTCTGCTTGCCAAAGCTGAAGTGAATGCTGGTAATGCCTTCTTGCAACTGCAGCTCACCATGTGAAAACCTCTTCTCAGCTGCATAGCAGGGAGGGCAATGGAGGGCAACCTCCAAGAACAGGAACCTCCCAGTATAGCGCTCATGTTCTAAACAAGCATTAGCATTAGCAAGTTAATGGCTGAGGTCTATTATGGCCTATTAGAGATTAAATATGAGTTTCTTTTGTAGTAGAGTTGCTCCAGCTACCTCTGCTATCTTGTTTGAGGATACTGATGGAAAGAGTCATGGCGCTGAACAAAAACATTGCTTTTATCTCTAGACTTCGCCCTGGAGGCCAATTAGTGATCGTCACCTAACAGCTTCTATCAACCTCCATACTCCCTCCTTAGTGTTCTCCCTCCTGATTCATCTAGTTACCTGGAGCTGAGCAGGTGGAGTCAGGTCTCCTTTGTCTGGGCACTGCTTCAAAGTAGAAGCCACAGTCAACAGCCGTCCAGTTTATGGGTAAGCGGCAGCAGGCAGCTCTCTAGGTATATCCACATCTTGTGTCTGGGTAATATGACTTCTGCTAAAGATTTTGACCTGTAACATTCACAAGGAGTCCCACTTGAACCTCTTTCACAGTCTTGAACCTGGGTTTAAGGTTGTTATCTTAAATTGGTGCTTGAAAGAAGCGCCAAGCTTTCTGTTCTGTCCACTGAATATGGACATGATAAAAGAAGGCTGGGCTTGATGGCCAAAAAAGGACGACCAGAAGTGTTGGGAGACAAAAGGGAGAACTAGTGGGTATATGTTTCTAAGGAAGACTGAAATGCCCCTTGGACAGATAATTTGGCCATGGGGCCAAATATATAATACATATAATATATATATAAAATATATACTATGTGTACTATATGTACTATATAACATATATATATATTATATTTATTATATATTATATAAAAATATATTTAAATATAAAATGAAGTGTAACAGGACTACATGAATGAACAGATAACAGTTGATATGACAAGTTATTCCTAAAGCAAACTGTCCACAGGCTGCTCCTTGCTTCCTCTAGTACTTTTTTAATCCATACAGACAGGGAGCACAGACTATCCAAGTTGCTGTAGTAAAAAAAAAAAAAAAATACACAAATGCTTTCCTGTCTTTCCTGGGCATTTTGTGCATAATCTGTCCCAGCAGAAAAAAAAACCTTGCTAGGCATTATTCCTCTGCTGCTTTGTTGACGTGGCTCATGCGGTAGTTAGAAGTAGAAATGTGGTATTAGATCCAGTGTTCACTGGAGTAAGAACTTGCAGTTAGGCATTATGTAGTGCAGGTACTGAACTGCAGAATAGGTGGATGAAAGCGCAGAGCCTCTGAGAAGCTTGTTTTACAGAGTCTTTCCCTTACATAGTGTGCCAGTGTCTGGAACAGACTGAATAGGATGTGATCATTGCTTCTGATGAAACTGATAGATTAGATAACAGTCCTCAAATGCTCCCTGAGCCGTTGAAAATATACAGATAGAGCAATAGAGTAAAGGAGATTCTGATGGAAAATAGAAAGACTGAAAATCATAAAACCGTGCTAATTTTTTTCATGTCTCTGTAGAAATTTGATCTTTAAATGTGGCTTCAGTGAGCCAAGAAACTTCTTACAGAGGAGTTGCCATAAGTAGTCATGTTTACTGACTATACTTATGAAAAATATATGCTGTGTGCAGCAAACACTTCAAAAATCAATCCTTATCCTTTTCTAGTCTTTCATCAAACCACCAACACATATTAAATCTTATAGATCATTTCATGTTATTGTAAGGTCGTGCAGTACTTAATTGGAAAAAGTGCCTGAAAGAAATGACATAAATGACTGTTAAATAACTGGACTGTTTAAAAAAACTGCTTAGATCAACTTGTTTTTGATTGCAATGCTGATGGTTTTTGAGCTGCATATGTGTTCTTATATTCAACTTGTCAGAGAAGATGTAAAATAGCATATAGTATTAATTTTTTTTAATCAAAAAAGAATTTCAGAGAATCTAATATAGTCCTGGCAACTGCAATGAATTTGTCTTATTCCATGAGCACTTAATAGAAGCAAAACAACTGTTTTCTCAGCCATATTATGGATTTATCTTCACATAGATATTACGGGTTTATAAGCTAAATCACAAATGCACGGCGTAGTACATACACTGCAGTGGACTACATTATTTTTTTCGAACTCCTGAAATCTAAAACTTAGTTGCCAGAACCTAGTGAGTCACCTTGATCTCCTCATGCAGTCTGGGAAGAAAAATAGGTACTTCCAAAAACGGCTTCATCTCACCTACATTTAGACACCTGCCTTAGGATGAAATAGAGAATGATTTCATAAAAGCAACTGGTATTCTAAGAAAAACCTTTACTGATCCATCATAGGTGTTTTGCACAAAGGCACTTTTAATGTTCCTTGTGGGAGGCCTGCAGAAGGCCAGTTTGGAGTAGTTAATGTACTGGCCCTGAGTCCACTGCCTGGTAGCTTCTCTGTATATACCAGTTAAGAAGTTAATTCAACACAACATTCTGGTAAAACTGACTGTTAGACTTAAACCGAAGGACATTTAAAATAAATAAGTTGTCATTACTACTGGCACAATAAATGCAAAATAAAAAAGACATACTATACAATTTTAAAAGGCATCAAAAACTAGAAAAATGACAATCTCACTGTAATTATTTATAAAAACACATTGTGTTAAAACTGAGAAAAAAAGAACAAGAAAAGGCTTTCTGTATTCATTCTGCTCTCACAAGGCACTGAAAATAATCAGGTATTAATTTTATTGTTTCGAGTTCTATTTCAGAGAGTATTATTAAAATTTGATGGAAGCATTGCAAACACAGGCAGCAGGTTTTAATAATCCTGGAGACCTAACATAATCAAATGATAATGTTTGCTTCCAAAGGGATGTTTTTGTCTTGTCTATAGGATTCAATTTTCTGTCATAGACAGGAGTGGAGGCATTATGAGCAATAGAAGGGAAGGATCAGCCTCCAAGGCATGACAGATGTGTCTACTCCTATCCTCAAGTGTTACTTCTTACTGGTGACACATGTCAGATGAATTGAGAACAAGTACTAGGTCAGCAATAACAAGAAAACTGACAAATTTTTTGAAGATCTCCTTTTGCTATAAAGGAGATGTATGTGCTCAGTGTGACCCTGGTATGTAGCTGAGTGAAAATTTTGAAAAGGATGAGCTCATATGGACATAGTAAACTTGGCCAGAAGGCTGAAAACATTAACTCATATAAACAGCTTTTAAAGCACAAAATATTTTGTCATATATAAATACAAAAGAACTTCCTAAGTTTGTTCTGAGGGTTTGGACCACCTACTAAGAAATCTATCAATGCAAATATGTGAGAATAAGAACAAGAAATTGCTTTATCAAGCTGCATCTATGACATTTTTTAACTCTCAGTAAAACTGAACTTGCTTGATGCTTCCTGAAACCTATTTACATAGGGTTCACATGAGCGCTTTCTATGTCCTGGTTAAGAAGGGTTTGCTTCTCTCAGTTTTGGAGTTTGGATGTTCACTGGAGAATCAAGGGGTACTTCCTGAGACCATATACAGGAGTATTATTCTATAACTGAGATGAAAAAAGATCCTAAATTTTCTTCAGAGAGAATATTTTTAGTGTATTTTCACACTTTGGATTTGTGCAGATCAAAGTATTGGAGAATTAGTATTTGTAAGTATACACACCAAACCTCATCCTTTCTGCTTGGATAGCCTGTATTCCTCAGCTTCTTCCAATTTCAAAGCCTTTGGAATTTGCTCTAATTCTGAGAGAGAAGGATAGGAAAGCAGAGTGACAACACATAGAGGACTCTGTTCAGTGTCTCGAACTTTTCATTGAGTGCTCAGGGTAGTTTGGCCCTTGAACTGTGTAGCTTGTGAGAGAACATGGAAAAGGCTGATTTCAGGATTTAAAAAAACTCAGACATAACTCTAGGGAAAACTCTGTCTCAGTTGTAAAGTGATGTCAGAGGGAACATTGCCCAGAGTTATGCCTGTATGCATAATATGTTAGAAGTGCCTTATATATTACTGGACTGTTGTAATGTCACTTGCAATATGTCTTCCTGAAGTTGAACTTTTCTTCAAGAAAAATCACTTGATTTTTCTAATATCAAAATGAGATTTAAGCTTCTATTATTTTGCATTTTTATTAGGAAATTGCTCTTTCAGAAATCCAATTTCCAGAGGTGTGAGGCAAACCCTTGTGAGAGTATATGTTATATGAACACAGGTCACAGACATTTAGGCAGAGAGGTAGGTATATAAACACATATGAAGAAGAAACAGAAAAAAAATAGTGATCTACAATTTTAATTCCTGCTCAAGTTTCTGTATGGTCCTTAACATATGTATGCAAGTCAATATCTAGGCGTAGATCCAAAGAGTGGATTCATTAACAGATTCTATTTTTCACTATATGCCTTGAAACATACCTAAAGATATTCCCTGATTTCTCAGATCTTAATTTAGCGCTGAGAAGTTTTGTTTTAAATAGGCTTTGAAGGTTCAGTGCTGCATGCTGGAGGATGGCTTTTTTTTTTTTTTTTCTGAGTAACAAAGCTGACTTTTGTATCTTCAGTCCAAATGCAGAATGATGAAAAAAAACATGCACTTCAACCAGTTATGGAGTGCTGAACATTTGATAGCTGGACTGCTCTTTAGAGAAGGTAAAATCTATCAATGTGAGTGATGAAATTCAAAGGCAGGAGGCAACATTCTGTTGCAACATGTTTTTTTTTCTGAAGCTTTTTAGGATACTAACAGCTTAGGGTGCTGTAGGGAATGCAATGTGATTCCTTGATTCGGGAAATTATGCTGCTTTGCTCTGCAGTCTTCCATTATCCGTTTTTTTTTTTTTTCCCTGAAAAACACTGCAGGTAGAGAGTAACTCTTACCTGCATTAACTGTGGATGCTTTTGTAGCTTTCTAGTTGGTAAACACTTCATTATCAGCTCAGTAACGCTACGAGTCAGCAGGATGCCTATCTTACTGCTTAGTGGAAAAGGAAAAAGAGCTTTGATGTCAAATTGAAACCTCATAGAATCCTGTTAGAAAAAGAGGCTGCTCTTCTAATAATCTAACTGTGTACAAGTTAAAAGAGTCCATCATCCAGTGGTTTTACTGGAAGCAGACCTATTTCTACATATCTACATGTCTTTTCAGTGCCTTCAGGGACATGTTAGAAACATGCTAGATTTGGCTAAACTTCATATCAACATGGACAGAAGGATGAGTTAAAGTCTATATTTTGGTAGGATGGCAGTATGGATATATTTTAGAAGTGATAATTGCTCTATGCTGTCTTTTACTTTCTTTTGTACTGGTCTTATCAATTATCTTGCTGATTAGAACTAATATTCTTAAACCCTGAAGTTGTTTCCCAGAGAGTATATTCACACTGACCTATGAAACATTAATTTGGTTACAGATGCATGTTAGCTTCTGTCTCATTGAGTTTCCCTTTTCTGCTTGTCTATGGTATTGGCATTGCATAGTGTCACTCCCACTGGACTCTTGAAAGTCTATTACTGGAAAGCATGACATGTATCATTTTCCCATCAAATAGAGAATTCCTTTCAGGTATTTGACAAAGTGACAGTACATCAAGACCCATTTCTGCTGGGACATGTGGGACATGTAATGACTTGTAACTGTTTCTGATAGTGATGGGGCAGGAAGAGGGAGTATTTGAAAAATCAATCCTTAAGCACAGAATACAAAGAATTCCACGTTTGACCTGCATGCTCATAACGACATCTGCCACTGATGACAAATAATGCGTCCTATTTACAGGTCTGAACTCAGTGATCATCACCTGCTCTTTACCAAAGCATTTAAGCCTTATCTAATTTCTGTTGCAATGTGGACAAAATAAGGAAGTAATATTGCTGAAATCCTAAACATTAAGCTCACTCTCCTGCCTGTTGAGGTCTCTTTTTAAAAAAAGTGGTCTTTCTGAGCCTATTGGAAAAGACTAAGTAACTTTGAAAAACCGATTTACATTGTCCCTTTAAAACCAAGAGGCTCCAAGTAGCATTCAGAACATGTGTTTATGGAAAATGCATTAAGGTAAAAAGAAATTATTTTTAAATTTGCACTGTGCACATAGAGTCTCTTAATGTGAGTGGTGGCAGTAGTGGCCTGCTGTCTGAGGCCTGGGCAACTGCAGAAGAGGCTGTCAACAGAGGGTGAGAAGTAGAAGGGATACAATGGCCAGTGCATTCTAATCTAGCAGTTCCTACCCCCAGTCTATTTAGCTGTGATATTTGTTTTGCTGTTAAGAGGCCAGTCAGGCAAGTGCTCTACTTACATTGTCTGCTGTCCCACCTCATTATTCTGAGGGAAATTTTACAATGAAATTATTCCAAATCACCACAAATTATGCCTTTAGTGCTGTCTGCGTGAGCTCACAGCTAGACATCTACAGATATAGAAGCATGTAAGAGCATCAGGGCCAGAGGGATCCTCCACTCTATTGAGAAGCTGATGACTTAATTCAACCAGATTGAAAAATTTGGCAAATGTCTATCGTGACACTACTTGTCTGGCAGAAGGCAGGAATTTAAGCACAGAAGTTGGATGGGATGTTCTTTTTAGGCTTTCTTTAGTAAAAGTCATTTAGAAGTGATCTATGGAGTATTTAAAACTGTGGGATTGAAGGCAGGATAAGCTGAGAGTCAAGAAGGCTGAAGAGGAAATACAGACCTTAGGGTGACATAAGATGCTAAAAGATAGGTCACTGTGTAGATTTGCAGCTCTCTAAATACATTATTCCCATTGCTGATGATAAAATACAGCAGTTGCCATAACTGTGGAAGGTTTTGGAGTAGGACTTTCAAACTTTACCTTGTCTGGACTTGTTTCGGCCTATGTGGTGTTGCATTTTAGCTTCTCTATCTGTAAAAATAATTATCTAACAAGCAGGTGACTCTTATGAAACTTTCTACTTTTAAATGGCACTATGTGGTTGTGCAGTGGTATAATAATTTTTATGTGCTTCTGCAAATAATAGGTAGCAATAACAAGAGGCTTTTCTATATAGAGTGATCTGTCTATGACACTAACAGAATAATGATGTATTGGAGTACAAGTGTGGGATGACAGCAGAGGCTTTGAATGTACAAGAACATGATGATACCGGGGCTCCACAACTATTAAAAAATCACCAGTAGTCATCAACCATTGTCATTAAAGTAAAGCCATCTTGGGAGCTCAGTACAACTATTTTTAAGATAACAGAATAAAACTCAAATAT